AAAAGATGCCGGTAAGCCACAAGCCGCGTGGCAGGGTATAGATTTGTGGAAATGGATTGATTTAAGATATAAGAACAGTTAGCAAGAAGCCTGCCACGGCCATACAGTTTGTAAGCAATATAAGTCTCTGTGTTTACTTGGTTGGGCCTGAGTGGCTGTGGGACTGGTGGATGACAAAGATTTGTCCTGACTGTGGGCAAGGCAGGAAAACTCCAGCTACAACTGGCTGCCTGGCCTCTGAACCACTACTTCCCATTACTGTTCAGTGTGATGGAGGTCTCCTCCAAGTGGATGTGGCCAAGAACAGTTCTTCCTTTTCCAGTCTCCTGTAGGGATGTTTTTCCACACACACCCTCCCCAGGCAGGGCAGGGTACCAGTTTTTCCTTATTTCCTCCCAGATCCTGTAGAAACCCCAGACAAGTGTAATTGAGAAGTCAGCAGCTCCTTCCTTCACACAGCCATACATTTGTAGGATGTAACTTCTGCATCAGGAACAGTTTCTTTCCAAACTGTTCTTAGGGTGGAGGCTTCATGACAACCGAGGCAAGCCAGAGACCCAGAGCTGCCCTCCTCCACTAAGTGTCCTGTGCTTAGAGGATGCTGCACCCTCATCCTCATCAGCATTGGCTGTCAATCATTTTCCTGGTGGTAGTTATTCTGACTGGGGTGAACTCTCAAACACAGTTTTAATTGAATTTCTCAGATGGCCAAAGATGTATCCAAACATTTATTGGCTGTCTGTACTTCTTTTGAGAACTGTCTATTCAGCTAATTAGCACATTTGTTGACTGGATAATTTGTTTCCTTTGTGTCTAATTTTTTTTATAGTCCTTTATTCTGCTAGATCTAGCAGAGGAAGCAGGATGAGAGAAGAAAAGTTGGGGAAGGGATGAATAAAAACAAAATATAATGTTGTATTTGTGTGAAAATGTCATAATGAAGCCCAGCACAGTATGCTATCAAAAAAAAAGAAAGAAAAGAAAGAAAAAAAGAAAAGGAAAGAAAAACAGAGCAGCCTGGTGTCAGTCAGAGACAGGCGATGCTGTCCCCTCCCTCAGTTCCAGTGTAGGGACACAAAGGTCCTGCCTCTTGAGAAAAGGATAATGATAAGAACAGAGAGTCTGCTGTGTGTGAGCTTGTGCGTGTGCGTGTGCGTGTGCGTGGTGTGGTGTGTGTGTGTGTGTGTGTGTGTGTGTACAGGCTGGCACACAATGACTCAGCGACTGCTGTGTGCCGGCCACTGCTCTAGACACTGGAGACACAGCCATCCTCAGTGTCATGGTTCCTGCGTGATGCAGTGGGTGCAGGCAGAGAAGCGTTCGGTGGTCCGTGAAGGGCTAGGAAGCAGCTAGGTAAGTCGGTGGACAGAGAGGCCAAAGAATTCGGTGTGTTTTCAAGTACATGGTTTCAATAAGAGGAAATGCATTTAGGTGAAAACAGAAGCGAGGTAGGGAAGCTAAGGAAACGCGGAGTGTGAGGACACATGCACAGGAGCTTCAGTAACTAAAGGCATCGCTGCAGGGGAGTGCAGGGCAGGGGGAGCCGCGGTGCCCCTCACAGCACCTTCCCTTTTACTTTCCATGCACGTCAACTGTTTCAAACAGATCACAGTGTCTACTAATAACAGCTATGTGTCCTAAGATGCAGCCACATCATGAGCGGATTATTAATGTGCTCATGGGACAATGACATGGGACAATGGACACAGAGTATCTGAACAACGGGACAATGTCAGAAGCTAAAGGAAAGAAGCTGGGCTTGAAACTAGAGCAACCTGCTTCCAACACAGGAGGTGTCTTCGGGGTTGTCTCTACTGTTGTGTCCCGGACCCTCTGATTCAGCTGGGATACAGCTCCCTGCTTCATGGAGCTGTTCTGCACATGAAAAGCATAATGTATGTAAACTCCCTGTGAATAATAGCGCATCAGTAAATATTAATCACTGCTAATTAAGGATCCAATCCCCACTGCTGCAGGGAGTTCTATATCCACTGTGGGAAGCTTTAATGAAGGTGTTGAAGGGACACGTCATCCAGCAGGGTGAAGAATTTTCCCAATCAGGCCTTCCTGACTGTGGGCCAGTGCTGGGTTTCTTCCTGCCTTACATCTACCCATGACAGGTCAGAGGCCAGACTATTGATTTTAGTTTCCCAAAACCAGATAAAACTGTGACTCCACAAGTAGGAGAAGTTGCCGAAGTCAGTGTGATGCCTGGTGGAAGACCTGCCCCACCCAGCAAGAACTGCTGTTCACACTCTACGGCGTTTGTGAATGAGTTCCGAGGCCATCCATTCTCTTACTCTCCATGTCTCCCCATCTCTCATGACTCTCTCAGGACGCTCGAACCTCTCACCTTCCCAAGCTGTCATTTGATTATTCTGTCTTCCCACATTCATCTTGATTTAGAGTCTGATCTTTTCTTCGAAGGTTTGCTTCTCTCTTGATGGACAGCTAATCAAGATCCATTTCTCCTTGTGGTTTTCTTAAAGGCCCTGAGTCGGCAGGGTTGGGAATGGGGGTGATGTCTGCCATGCACGAGCCTGGCTGTGACAAATAAAGGAGAAAAAGCAGAGGGAAAATATGCAAAGCAAAGAACCAAGCACATTGCAGACAGAGGCCACTGTCAGCTGAGCAGGAGACAACTTCCAAAATGTCTGCAGATACAGCCTCTTGGTGCCCTGCAAGATTCTGCAGTGGGACGCATGACCTCTACTGTAGCTCAGGAAGGTCAACTCTGTGCTTTGTCCCCAAAACTTTCTTTCCAGAGTGTTTGCACTGCAATCTCTCTTATCTTTTCTTAATGACTTTGTTCTTTTTATTGCATTTAGTCTTTAAATGTTCAAATTCAAATAACCAGAGAGCTTCTCTAGGACCCAATTTTTTCCAGGGTGAGTTGTGACCTCATACAAGGTTGTGTAACTGATTGTGGGGGTTGTTGGGAAAGTTTGGCAAAGTAAGAGACTGAGAACACGCTGACCAAAGATTAACTCAAAAGTAAACATGTAGCAAGTCTGAAGTATTTCTGATGGTGCTTGCCTGTGCTGTCTCATGCACCAGAGCTGTAGCTGTGGTTCTGGACACGAATGCACACTTTACACTGTGCATGCTGTCATGCCATGCATTGCAGTGAACACTGCCACACATGCTTGGGCTCAGATCAGAGACTCGAGTGCTATGAACTGCGGTGTTTTCACTGCATACACAGTCGTCTGCTCCTACAGGAACATAACAGTTTGATCATGGGAAAGAAAGACTTTCAATATTTTCCTACCATACTTCTCAGCAGGTTAAGTCCCAAATGAATGTATCTCTGGGTTGTATCATGTTACAATATTTTATTGTAAAAAATTTGCTTATTTGAGTTGCTAAATTGAGGTTCATTTAAATAACATTAAATGAATTTGGGTTGGGGATTAGGGCAATATTTCTAACAATTTCAGAAATGACCCTAAACAAACTTTTGCCATTTCTCTGACGAGGTCTCCTCAGCGTTTTTAATCGTTATGCATCACTACAGTGAATGGCTTTGAGCAGTGACCTCTGACACAGGCATCTGCATTCTAACAATGTGTGCTGCTCTTGGCTAACACTTCAATGCCTGGCATATACTTAGGGCTTATTAATGACAGCTGATACAAGCCCACATTTTAAATAATCCTTTGATAATTTGAATCTCAACTGCTTGTCATACCCAATTAGATCATCATTATCTTAGTTTCACAAATGTAACAGAAAAAGAGCTCTGCTTTAAGAGAAGTGTCTGCCGGGCAATTACCTTGTTCTTCTCCATCTGTGGATTACTATCTCCCTATCATCCACTGTTCCTTTGTGAGCCGCCTTTTAACCACGTGCCCACTCTAGGAGGGTAAGCCCAGCTAATGACAGCTAATAGCATTTGGAAGTCCAATTACACAGACATGGATCACAACGTTTAAATAATGGCCTTTAGCAAAGAACCACTGTGTACTGACATCAGGCACAAACTCCCAGTCCTCACAGGGGCCACTTCACTCCTCAATGTCCAAACGTGGTCCAGATAACAGTTTGTTGTCAGTGTGCATACCAAGTACTAGGAAGTTTGGTCTTGTTTGTTTCACTTTATAAATAAGATATGAACATTCATGGTCTATTAATGCATAGCAGTATGTTTCATGAGGGTATTTTCATATGGGATGTGTGTATTGCACACCCCCTTGTCCCCTATCTCACTTGAAATATTAACCCTAAGAAAATAATATACAGAAAGTTTAAACTATTTTTTTCAACTCTCTCTGGCTAAGTTCATGGCAAACCAGACTGTGATCAAAGCACAATGGTATTTTCTTTAGGACAAGGTAAGGATGAACACAAGTAGTTTTTAAATGGAGGCCACACTACTTGGCATGTAGTCTTTCAAAAAAGTTCAATGGCATGTTTGTTTCCTGGGTCTGATGTGCTGAAGCACTATAAACTGGGGACAGAGAGATGGCTCAATGGTTAAGAACACCTACTGTTCTTCCAGAGGATCTGAGTTGGGTTCCTACCACCCACATCAGGCAGCTCACGACAGACAGTCCAGGGCAATTGGGCACCTCTGGCCTCTGAAGGCCCCTGCACTCACATTCACATATACATGCAACTGGGGTCATGAATGAAGTATCTTCCATCATGCCTGCTACACTGATTTCCATACAAGGAATCTCCTGTGGTGATATTTTATCTGTGTCCCCCAATAAAGTTTATTTGAGGATCAGAGGAAAAATCCAGCCACTATAGTAAACAAAGAAGTAAGGCAGATGTAGCACACACCTTTAATCCTATCACTCAGGAGGCACAGATCCATTCGGATCTCTGAGAGTTCAAGGTCACACTGGGAACAGAGCCAGGAGTGGAGGCACATGCCCTAAATTCCAACACTAGTTAACTATAAAGGTCTGAAGGTCTGTACAGACAGACAGGAAGTGACAGAGCTGGGCAGGAAGAGGAAGTGATATAGCTGGGCAGAGAGAGCAGATGAGATGGCAGAACAGAAAGGCATATAGGGGTGGGTAGACAGGAAGTAGGTCTCTTTGGCTGAGGATCTCCAGGCAGGTAAGAACGTGGCTGGCTTCCTTCTGCTTTTCTGATCTCTCAGCTTTTCACCCCAGTACCTGGCTCCAGTTTCTTTACTTAATAAGACCTTTTAAGTTTAGTGTTACAGTCTCCCTTGCCCTCCACTAGGCTGCACTTGTACAGAGCAACTGCTTTCTGCGATCCTTGTGGTCCCAACATCTTGCATACACACACGTCTCATTTACTGATATTTCTAACAGATGCTGGTGGTCACGAAGGTTTAGACAGAGAGGCCTACCCCTACGTGGAAGCATGGGGCCACTGTGCAGAGATCAGATACGGCAAAGCACCAGTTCCAAAACCAGCGTCTCCCTTCCGCAGCCCCTCATCTCCCACGACCCTCTCCAGCTGCTTGGGAGGCTGTCTTGTCATCTTGACTAGAGCACCTGACCTCCCTCTCACAAGACCCCTGCTTTTCTCTTGATGAGCTGCTGGTATCCAACATAGCCCTGGGCCCTCTGCTCAGAGTCCCCTGGAGCGCTGCTTGGTCTCAAGAGGTCTGCAGGGCAAGTCTGGTTTTCAGTGTTTTCTCCTTTCCACTATTATAGGAGAAGAACAGACAGACTGAAGATAGGCACATGGAGAACACTGTATTTCAAAGGCAGAAACCATCATGGTGCAGTCCTCTGGGCTTACTGTATGAACAGCAGTATGCCACAATTCATATCAATGTAAGTGAAAAGCTAAAATTGAAGACTCTATTTTCTGTTATAAATAATCATTGATTGTAAAATAAGTATCTCAGACAATCTGTTTTGATGAATTTGTGCAGTTTGTAATTAGCATAACTAGCAGTCTACCTTAGCATGGCAGATATCAGCATGTCGTTATGACTCCACTTACCAATAAAAGGCCAGCACTTGTTAAACATTTTAATAGAGCAAACTTACATCATTGTAACTAATTAAATCTTTGATTCATAAAACCCCAAATGAAAAGAATTACTGACCAACTCATTCACAAAAATGAAACATGACAATGAGCACAAATCTATTTAGAAAAGAATGCTGCAGGGTTCGTATGTGCAGACTGACTAATGATGGTCAGTGATTCAGAGAGCTTGTTCTTCCAGATATCCCGAGTTCAGTTCCCAGCACCCATGCTGGGCAGCTCACAGCTGCCTGGAGTTCCAGCGCCCAGGAATCCCACACCCTCTTCTGGCCTCCATTGGCACCCATATACATGTGGTATACACACGGGAACATATAAGTGAATAAATAAAAGAAAACCAACTACTGAGGATGAAGTGTTCTGGGTTGTTTCTTCTCTATATTCCTTTGTTGTGTCCGAGGTACCTTCACTCTTTAGGAATCCCCTCGAGGATGTGTCTGCGCTCCTTGTCCCACAGACTCTCAGATGCGTCTTTCTTTTCCTTGCTCAGCCTCTCACTGGAAACAGACTACAGCACATCACTTCGTCTGTCTTGGGCTTTCCTTTGCTTGTCTGTCTGTCTGTCTTGGGTTTTCCTTTGCTTGTCTATCTGTCTGTCTCAGGCTCTCCTTTGCTTGTCTGTCTGTCTGTCTCAGGCTTTCCTTTGTCTGTTTTACAAGAGAAGTGGATGTTTCCTTCCTTCCTTCTCTTCACCGTCACAGTCTATGGCTAGAGACGCAGTTCTAACTACCTAAGTCATCTTTTTATGAATGGTTATTCTTCTTTTTAATAAACATGGAGTTTATTTTATTTTTTTTTTAAGATTTATTTATTGTTATGTATACAGTGTTCTGCCTGCATATATGCCTTCATACCAGCAGAGGGCACCAGATCTCATTATAGATGGTTGTGAGCCACCATGTATGTGGTTGCTGGGAAATGAACTCAGGACCTCTGAAGGAGCAGTCAGTGCTCTTACTCTCTGAGCCATCTCTCCAGCCTGATGGTTATTCTTAAGCCAGAGACGCTTATACATATTTAAATGGCCAAGAAGTAACTATGTCTTTGGAGGTAAAAGGAAATCCAACCCACAAGTAATGGTAACAGAGAGACTTTGGCCCCAGGCCCCACAGGGTGTGTGTGGTGCCTGTGTCAACCGCACACTGGTTTCTTAACTAAAAAAGGTCCTTCAACTTACACCATGATGTTCAGGACAGGTACAAAGGGCACATTCAGACAATGTCCACAGATGATCCTACATAAGTAATTCTGTGCAGACTGCAAGCTGAGTCTATTCAAAGGCAACAGTCCACCCGCCGCTCACCTCCACAGATCTCAGCAAATGTGTACGTTTAACAAACACTTGCAGCATAGTAGATTGGTTTGATTTTAAAACATGCACCTTGAAATTGGAAACTGCACTTTAATTTGGACTATGGATTTACAAGGGCATGTGCAAGAGTGAGCACACGCATCCTCATTCCCCGCCCCACCAACCCTCTGACTAGTCAGGTGTCTTAGACAAAGCAGCATGGGGTCATTAGCTCCAAGGTTGCAATTAGATAAAAGGACTGTAATTGTCAACCCTGCAAGGCATGGAGCATTTAGAACAGATTGGTCACAGTGACAGGTGTTTCTTAAAGGAGCACTAACACTAACTGTTGGAGTCTCCTCCTTGTGGGAGCATTATTATCATTATTATTATTATTATTTATTATTATTATTATTATTATTATTATTGTTATTTTGAGACTGGATCTTGGTAGGTAGCTCAGGCTGACCCGGAACTAACTCCCTGTGAGTCCAGACAGGCCTCAAGCTTGCGCTGCTTCTCTCCTTCAGCCTCCTGAGTGCTGGGATGACAGGGTGAGCTGCCGTGCCTGCCAGTGTAGGGTGCTTTACTGAGTAATTAGCATATTTGGCTTCAGAAACACCAGCTTTAAATTGTTTATTTTTATTTTCCTCATGTGTATGTGTGAGAGTCTGTGTGTGTGCCACACGTCTGTCCCTGAAGGTGAAGCTACAGGAGATGGTGAGCTGTCTGATGGGGTCCTGGGAACTGAACTCTGGTCCTCTGCAAGAGCAGCCAGTGCTCTTCATCACAGGCCGTCCGTCGCTCTAGGCCCAGAACTACTACTTTTTATTGACGATAAAATATAAGATGATGTATGCTCAAACCCTACGGCCCAAACTGCTCTGTCTCCTTGCTCTTCCGGGCCACAGCTCTCACATGCACAGCCCCTCAGTCACAGAAGGCCTCCAGTCCCGTCTGGTAGGAGACTACCTCACTTGCCAGCAGCCACTTAACAAGTGGGAAAGACAACATTCCAGACTCTGGGAACTGCCTTCCAGAAGGACCTAGAAGTCTGTGTGAGCCATTAAGATTTAAGGAGATAAGTTGTGATAAGGAAATTGGTGGTAAAAACACACTGCTGGTTTTATTGTTGCCTTTAAAAGACCTTTAGAATTTTAACAGGCACAAGTTTTTCTCTGGAATTGGGTGTGTGGTGAGTAGAAGTAGAAGAGAAAGTTCCTAGAGAGGGTGTAGGGTCCTGCTGAGAGGGCAGATGTGTGAGGCTACAGCAGAGCTGGGGGCCTTGGAGAAGTAACCCTTCCCCTTGGGGAGAATATGACAAGGTGGGGAAGAGGGAGGAGAAGCTGGGCATTTTAGAAAGCATTTTACGTAAATGTTACTGTTCAGGGTTTACAGGCAGCCAGTGATTGCAATTCCATGTTAGAGATGCCTTTGAATGATTTATTTTGTCTGTGAACAGTTTGTCTGTAAGACACTCTACTAAAAAGTGACAGGGGCCAACTCTTCGGCCCCAAACCGAAGCCGTGTTCCCATTTCTCTACAGAGGGACTGGTGCAGGACACTGGGGACAAGGGGAGAAACAGGTTAAGCGACAGTCCCTTCAAGCAAAGATGGATGGGCAGCTGGAGGGCAGGGAAGGCGGAGATCATCACCTGCATTAGGAGCATGGCTCTCCAGCTCCAGTGTCTACCACTTCCTGAGCTGTAGCTGAGTAACGCTTGCAGCCTGCTGATGCGTTAGGTTTAGTTTTAGCCAGGCCTGGCGGTACAGATTTCACTCCTGGCTACTCTAGAGCGGAGTCCAGAGGATCACATGCTACAAGCTAGAGGCCTTGGACTATGGAAGTGAGTTTAGGGCCAGCGTAGGAGACTTGGTGAGGTCCTGTGTCAAAATCAACAGGGAGTTAGGGACAGAGCTCAGTGGGAGAGTGCTTGCCTAACATGTGAGAGGTCCTGGTTCACTATGACCAAACAAACCGGTAAGCAGTGAGCTTTGTTTTCACATCTGATCATTTTCAAATGGAAACCCAAGTACGTTGTATTTTGAGCATATTTACCTTACTATTCTCCCTAACTCCTCCCTCTCGGAATTTCCCCACTCTGTCTTTTATATATATATACACACACACATATATATAAAACTCATCTCATCCAGTTTGTGCTCAGCCCTGGCTCTGGCCTCCCATGAAGTGGTTGGCAGCCCATGTGCACAAGAATTCCTAGAAAAAAAAAAAAGCTGCCCACAAGGACTGGCTTGTTCACTGGTTAAAAGGACAGTGGTATGAAGGAATGTTGCAGGGCCGGAGCTAATTACCTCACCTCAAGCCAGCTCCAGCACCCTGAGCAGCCAGCTTGGCTCGCCTCTGCGTCAGAACCAACATCCTGGGAGGAAGAGATGAACACCTTTGCCATCTATGAACTGAGCAGACTGGCTGCGGACCACCCCCCCCCACGCCCCAGCGAGGCCTCTGGAAAAGCCCCCTCCACACCGCTGCCACATCTCTCTGCCTTACTCAACAACGTAGTTAAATTCTCCTTCATTTTTGACTTTGTTTTGTCAAACTGTAAAACTTCATGAAATTGCTTCCACATTGGAACGTGGGATTTGGGGTAACCCAGATTTGTGCTCCTGTGCCACGGTCACTTAAAATGGCTCCAGAATAAACTACTGCTTATTCCCTTTAAGGTGAAAATTATGGTTTTTTTTTCTAGTTGACACCCACAAACACAGTTCAAAACACTGTGTACAAATCAAGGTTGAGTCAATCCTAGATGCTTACGGAGATCCAAAGCTCTGGGAGGCAACATTCCAAGCAGCGGGGTACCTGACCTCTGGGAAAGGCCGGCTTGGGGGCCACATGATCTGTGTGCTTAATGACTACAGGCAAAGCACCAAACTGAACCAAGCCATGAGGGAGGGTGCAGGCCCAGCATGCCAACCGAACTGATGGCTGAGACACGTGAGCTACTGTAACTGAGTACCACGCTCTGGTGGCTTAAACAGCAGAGATTCGTTTCCTTATAGTTTTAGATGAGTAGCCCAAGGTCAAGATGGCGGGAGGTGGTTTCAGGAAAGGCATCTCTGCCTGGCTAGCAAGCACACCTTTTGTTGTGTTCTCATGACCCTCCACTGAAAGCTCATCTCTTCTACACCTTATGAGGACGTGTATTAGTCAGGGTGCTCCAGAGGAACAGCACTTACAGAACGAATCTCCCTCTGTATATGGAAAAGGGATTTATTAGAATGACTTACAGGCCACAGGCCAGCTCGTCCAACAACAGCTCGCTATGAATGGAAAGTCCAAGAACTCGGTAGTTGTTCAGTCCAGGAGGCTGGATGTCTCAGCTGGTCTTTAGTACATGCTGGAATCCTAAAGAAGTGGGCTCTAATGTGAGTGAAGGAAGAGACATCCTAGGGAGGCAAAGGGCAAAGCTCTTCTTCCATGCCCATACCCGGGATTCCAGCAGAAGGTGTGGCCAGAATTAAAGGTGTCTTCCTACCTCAAAGATCCAGATTAAAAGTGGCTCTTCCTACTTCAAATTAAGCAGAAATCGCTCATAGGAGTGCTCTTCATTTTTGGATTACAACCCCATTTAGCCTTAAAAACCTTTGTTTAGGGTCCTAGCTTCACATACAGCCCCTAGGGGTTAAAAGCTCAACATGTGAATCATGGTGGCTTTCCCCAAGGCCACCATTTGGTCCGCAGTGATGAGAAAACACCTCAGAGAATCGACGTGTTCAACGGATGTCTGAGGCATAAGCACCGTCCATCATACAGAAGGGGCCTGGAGCACATAAGACTGCAGGGAGATTAGTCCTGGACTTCAGCATCTCCCTTTTTTATCTGCAAGATGAATTCCCAACTTCCGCAGACTGGAGTGAGGAGAGAAGGAGCCGGTCAGTTTTGTGGCTTCTCTCTGTTTCTCTGAGGGCCCTGGCAGAGCGTGC